TGGCACAGCCCGGAATTAAGATAGTGTCTCGAACAGAAATTACCTTATGTTAGAAATGCATTTCTTTTTTGTGTCTGTGAAAATATCACATGCTCACTGTAGAAATATTTAGGAAATTGAGAAGAACAGAAGGAAGAAAACAAAAATGTCTCAATGTCATTGCAGAGAGGCTATCTGTTAATATTTTGGTGCACTCCTGACATTATTGTTTTTGTCTGTGGATAACAGGATGTATTTGGAGGCAAACTGGGCACTGAAAGGGGATGCCTGTATAGCTTGACAGCGTTTCAGGTTTTTCCCAGCCAAGCATTCTTTTCCCCTCATGGAAGATACAGGTGAAGCTGAAACTCATCCATTCCTCCTGACTGAGATTATGTGGGCTACACTGCTTTTGCAAAATGTGGAAAGTTGAGATAAACTTCTTTAGACAGTCTCCTTTCAGTCCCAGATTTAGTGGAAATGTTATTACAAATCTCCTGCTTGAACCTGAGGTGCTTTTCTCAATTGCTTAAAACACCACCTAGAGAGAGATCCCCTGTTCTGCTTGCCTCGGAGCTGTACATCGGGAACAAAAACCTCAAGTCAGGTTCTTCCTTTTTTACTGATTTGGCTCTTAGTAATTATCCCCTCTTCTATTAAACAAGAGAAGACGGATTAAATTTCTACCAGTAAGGCACAAAACCAATCCATTTACAGAATTAGTCTTACATTAGCACATAGAAGTACAAATCAGCCTCCCTGGGGATGGATCTATTTGCAATTTCTCTCAGCGATTTTGGAGTAAGTCCAGTAGACTTTGGGAAAATCTAGTATTCACTGACTTTGAATTAACAAAGTAACACGACCCCTTTGTGTGTGTGTGTGTGTGTGTGTGTGTGTGTGTGTTTCCCTTGATGGGGAAAGTGGGGAATGAATTGATTTTTTCCCCCCATATCTACCTGTGATTTAGGGCTGTGGTTCTCAACTTTTGACACACATGAGGTTGCCCTGAGAGTGCTTGAGCCCCATCCCTGGAAATTTGGGGCAGTAGGTTTAGTCCTACCTTAAGTGTTTTCTTTTGTTTGTTTTTTGGAACTCCACACTTGGTGTGTAAGACAGGGCAAGAGTTGCCAATAGTGGTACAAAACCGACACCTGAGACATTGTCAAAGAATTAAAAGCCAAGTTGTATGTAATCCAAAAGATGTTCTTCCTTACATTTGAAGGAATGTTAAAACTTTGAATTCATTGGCCAATCACATATTGCTGGGAGCTGATAAGTTAATGCAGAATTACACTCTCTAAACATTGTAGGCATGTTGAAAAAAAATTTTTTTTTTTTTTTAAGAGAGGTTTTTGCTACAGGGCAAGTGTGCTAGCCTGAGAGACAGAGAGACAGAAAGCGAGAAATCACCCCCCAGGGGGGATGGCCATGCCGCAATCCCTTCTCCTCCATTCTCCTCTCGGGATCTTGGGCACGCACGCACACGCGCCCGGCTTGAGTTTAAGCCACCAGGTCCGGGACTCGAACCGCAGTCAACTACATGGGAGTTCAGCGACATAGCCATTATGCTAACTGGTGGTCCCAGAAAAAAAAAATGTTAACAATTATTTATTATTATTGATTTGACCAGAGAGAGACAGAAAAAAGGGAAATGAGAAAGCAAGCCACCAGGTTCAAAACTCAAACCGCAGTTGACTACGAGGGAGACCAGCACCTTAACCACCATGCCACCTGCTGACCCCCACGTTGAGATTTTTTATAGTGTTACCACATTTCCCTGTATTAATATATCCAATCATTTTAGTGTCTTCCTTCTCAGATTTTCTTTGTTTCTGCAATGTCAAGTTGTCCATTTTCATGTGTTTAAGTCCATATTGATGTAGAGTTGGGTTAATGTGGCTCATCACTCTTTGGATGGCGGAGTCCTTCACAGTACTGTAAGTGGAAGTTCGATGTGCCCTGTTGGATAACAAGGTATTTCTCCACATGCTGGTAGTAAGTAGTATTTTTAACCTATGTTTATAAACTGTTGGAAGAATGAAATGAGGGCTTGAGACATTCTGCTGCTATTAGGATTTACATGGCCACTGGGCTTTTGTCCAGGATGTGGTTTCAAATCCTCGTCACATCATGTGTACCTGTGAGAGAGTTGTGTTTGCCCCCACAGCATCAGGCTTGCTCATTACTGTGAATTGTTTTCTTTTCAGATGTTTCCTTTTTTTTTTTTTTTTTTGAAATGATTTTGGCCAGAGGACGAGTGCACTCTCCAGAAAGACAGAGAAAGACAGAAAGTGAGAAATCACCTCCCGACCCCCATGCCGCAATCCCTTCTCATCTATTCTCCTTTCAGGATCTTGGGTATGTATGCACATGTGCCTGGCATGAGTTTAAACCACCAGGTCCGAGACTCAAATCGTGATCGACTACATAGGAGTCCAGCAACATAGCCACTACTCCCACTTCTGGTCCCTCAGATGTTTCCTAAATGATACATTACAATTATGACATACAAGACCAGCAGATGGTGGTGTAATGGTTACGTAGCTGGACTCCCACGTACTCAACTGAGGTTCTAGTCCCAGATCCAGCAGCTTAAAACTCAAGCCAGTCACTTATACATGTGTGCCCGAAGTCCCAAGAGGAAACTGGAGGAACAGGGGTTGGCCATCTTCTCTGGGGGATGCTTTCTCACTTTCTCTCTCTCTGTTTCTCTCTGGCGAGCACACATGCCCTATAGCAAAATAATGACCTACTAAAGTTTGTGAATCATTTACTTAACCTTGAACTTACTCTGGTTGGTTGGTTGGGTGCTATGTCACTCTTCCCTGTGTTCCAGTACGTCTCTTTGAATAGAGGAGTGAGAAGTAAGTTACCTAGACTAATGTCCTTGGAGCTATGCATATGAACCCTTGGGAATGTGTTAAGCACAGGACTGTCATGGGTCATATTTGTTGCTTTGGGGGGAAAGGCTAGACTTTCCCACGAAAAGACTCTGAGATAGAGATTTGCCTACAGGTGGCTTAGTGGGTCAGCCTTTCAGAGATGTCCTGAATTGAGGCTAGGAGTCCAGCACTCAAAGAATATGGCAGTGTCGGCAATCATTGATCACATCCTCAGTCCTGGGACTTGTGCTGAGCCCTCTCCATGTATTCTCTTGGTTTATTCCTCACAACCTACGTACTTGGGCCTTGTCTGAGTAACATCAAGTCCAGAAACACATTCAGAGCGAGTCCTTCAGAGGACTGATTGAAGAAAGCAATGCCTGACAGGTCTGTAACAGTTACAAGCTCAGTAATACTTCACTATGGATGAATGTGAGCTTTTCTTTGTGTTTGTTCTGCTGATATGAAGATAAGGGACATTTGTCTCTTACTCCTTGATCAAGTAGATACATTAAGATTCTCTACTTCACCATCGTCAAAATAATCCAGAAGAGAAAGCAGGAGGAAGCCCATGGTTGCAGAGGACAGTCTCCCTTGCGTACAGCTTTCCCTGGCTGGCCGTGACTCCTTCCAGGGTGGTATTGAGAAATCTCAAGTTGTATCTTGGCCAGGAGAGAAAGTGATGCCTCGTTTTCTTGATGGGTGAAGCTGGTTAGTTGCAGGAGGGGACCTAGCCTGACATTAGGCCAATGACTTTCTGGTATTTTTGTTGGCAAGGACCCCTGTGCCTTCCAATTACACTTGCAGATCTTTTCCTGTTGTTTTCTGTATGGCCAACATTTCTCTCCCGATTTAACATTCTGTTCCTTCTTCGCCCACAGAGAACTGTCAACTCTTCCTCTCTTCCTCTAGAGATCCTTTTCGACCCTCATACTTACCCTTGCACTGTTTTTGCAGTTGAACACCACATTTCCTTCTGATGTCCAAATTATCTTTTAGCCCCAAGCATCCTTGATGAACAGAAACATGATTCCAAAGGAATCTTTACCCTGAGCGTTGGTAGGATCTAAACCGGTGCTCGCAAACCCTTAAAAATACTGAGACTCCTTTCTGTTTTGAGACTGCAGTCTTGCCATATGTTATTTGTTGCATTTGAGTGGTGAATTAACAGTTCACTTGCAACCAGCAAGGCCTTGATGTCAGCCAAAGCTTTTTTAAAATGAATTTTATTAAGCGAGTTCTTTGGGGACGAAGAGCACAGCTTTCCCTAGCTTTGCAGAAGCAGAGACCAAAGTGAGCGTCGGCAGGTGGATTTGGGAACAGGCAGAGGGGCACATGTGCACTCTTGGCCTTTTCTGTTTCACTCTCATATTTCTTTGTGCTACCAGGACCGTCATGACAGCCTTATCTCAAATAAGCCTGTTACCTCATCTCTAATTGCTTACTCAAAGGCAGGCGAGCTCTAATTTCTCCGCATTAATAAATGACACTGAAGAAGAACTGCTTTGTTTGCACTGGCTCGCTCAGGTTAACCAGTGTAGGCCCCCAGAGCTTTAGGGAAGCTTGTGCTTCCCCAGCAGCCAAGGATGATGGCGTTCTCCTCAGTCCAGAGCAGCGTTCCAGTCATTTACCTTGGCTCCTGTTCACAGCCCTGTTTTCCTGATGAAAACACGTTAAGTGACCTGGGTCAGTATTTCTCTAGCTGTGGGTACTCTCTACCCACCAGGTGAAGAGCAGCAGCCAGGTTCTGGGTTGAGGGGTGCCTCCCTGATTTCAGGGCTCACTTTCTTAACTCCCCACTGCTCACTTTTCCTTAGAACCAAGAGGCTTTCCACAAACCATCACATGGGTTCCTGTGGCGTGTCCCTGGGTGTGAGGTAGCACTCCTGCTTCTCCTCTTTGAAGCACTATGGGAAATGATTATAGGTGAACGTGAGGAGGGCAGGTGTGCTGGGGGTGGGGGTCAGAGACTTGAGAGTGGCTGGTGAGTTCTGTGACTGCTTTGCCAAAGAGAACACTCCCCTCTGGGGGAACAGCATCCACGCTGGTAATACATCTCTGGTAATTTAACCCGCACACGTAAGTTATTTTCTTACTCAGAATTGTAAGCCTGCCTCCTTTGTTTTTTCTCCTCAGAATGAAATGGATGATGTGCCCTTCTTTGATATCCAACTGCCTTATGAATTGGCAATCAATATATTTCAGTATCTGGACAGGAGAGAATTAGGAAGGTGTGCACAGGTAAGCTGCCCTACACAGATGTTTAAAATGTTCCTAAATGTGTGATGAAAGTATAGAAAGCTCCTGGGTAACAGAATTTATTTCAGAGAGTGACAACTTTACGGAATTAATGAATTGGTTAGCAAGTTTACTTGAAGGAAAACAGCTCTGAACTTAAAGAATTGTGTTCCAGGTCACTGTGGTGGTTTTCTTTGAAGTGACACCCCTCTTTTCTCTGCAGTGTGAGTTCTGGCTGAACTGTGGTTTTGTGCTCCAGACCGACAGCTCTGTGGCTGGCCTTCATTGAGATAGCTCGTGCTGTCAGCATACTCAGTTTTAATGAGAAGATGTGAACCCTCGGTTAAATCAATCCAGTAGTTAGGTTGGTAACTGAGGGTCAGCCAGTGGCCATAAAAATGAAGTCATGGGGGCCAGCAGATGGCATAGCAGTTACGTTGCTGGACTCCTACATGGCTGACCACGGTTTGAATTGCAGACTTGGGCGCTTCAGACTCACACTGGGTGCATGTGCACCCAAGATCCTGGGAGGAGAGTGGAGGAGAAGGGACTGTGGTGTGGCCATATCCTCTGGGGGGGGTGGTGATTTCTCACTTTCCCTCTCGCTGTCTCTGTCTCTCTCGGGCGAGTGCGTGTGCCTTAAGGCAAAAACCTTTACCAAAAAAAAAAAAAATGAAGTTGTATTTTAGGTATATAGTCCAAATTACCCTTTAAACACCAGAATCCCGCTTAGTGAGGTGCAAGGCAAGTGAGGCTGGAGATTGACCAAGGGAATTGCAGGTCAGCGTCACCCATCTCATGCTTACTGTGGGGCATATGCACATGAAGTGAAGTGGTGGGACATGCAGTCTGGGCTAAACTTCACTGTGTGTGCAAATCATGGGGGAATCTTGATGAGATGCAAATCTGTGCTCCGGAGGTCTGATAGTCTGCATTTTAACCAGGTGGTGCTACTTAGAGCTTTGGTCACGCTCTAAGAGGCAAGGGCTTAAACCATTAAATTGTTCTTATGTTCTTTTTGGCCAACCATTATATTGATTTTATAAAAAAAAATTTAATTGACAAAAACTGTGTATATTTATCTTGTATAGCATGTTTTTTTTTTTTTTTGAGAGGTTTTTACTATAGGGCACGTGCGCTCACCAGACAGACAGAGAGACAGAGAGACAGAAAGCGAGAAATCACCCCCCAGGGGGGATGGTCATGCCACAATCCTTTCTCCTCCATTCTCCTCTTGGGATCTTGGGCACGCACGCACACGCGCCCGGCGTGAGTTCTAAGCCACCAGGTCCGGGACGCGAACCGCGGTCGATGACTACGTGGGAGTCCAGCGACATAGTCATTACGCTAACTTCTGGTTTTGAGGTCTTTATACATTGTGGAATGGCCTGAGAATGAGGCTAATTAACAAATGCATTACCTGAACATACTTAACGTTTTCTTATGTCAGAACCTAAAATCTACTTCCTTAGAGATTTTGGACTAACGATACATGTTCATTAACTTTAGTCACCATATTGCACAGTAGATCTCTCAAACTTTCTCCTGTCTGAGTGAAATTTTATGTCCTTTGCCCAGTATCTTCCCAGTGCATGCACAGTACCCTCTCCCACTGGTAAACACCATTCTACTTTATATTCTATGAGTTTAACTTTTTTAGCTATCACAGTAAGTGAGATCATATGGTATTTTTTTTCTGTGCCTGCCTTATTTCACTTAACGTAATGCCCTCTGGGTTCATCTGTGTTGTCACAAGTGACAGATTTCCTGCCTTTTTTTTTTTTTTTGAAGTCTGATTAGTATTTCATTGTGCGTATATATCACATTTTCTTTTTATTTTTTTAAAGAGAGATTTTTGCTATAGGGTGTGTGCACTTGCTGGAGAGATAGAAAAAAAAAGAGGTAGAAAGAAATCAATCCCCAGGAGTGGTGGCCATGTCATAGTCCCTTCTCCTCCAGTCTCCTCTCAGGATTTTGGGCATACACTCACACACGTCTTGTGTGAGTTTTAAGTTGCTGGGTCCAGGACTCGAACTGCAGTTGACTACTTGGGAGTTTAGCAATGTAACCATTACATCATCTGCTAGTCCTTATATCACATTTTCTTAATAAACTCATTGATTCCATATCTTGGATATGAATAATGCCTCAATGAATATGGGAGCACAGATATCTCTTTGACATACTCTTTGTTTTGGATATATACCCTTAACTAGGATTGCTGGATCATGTGGTACTTCCATATCTCATTTTCCAACAGACTTTCATGCTGGTTTTCTTTTTTTTTTTTTAAGAATTATTTAATTTATTTGTTATTATTATTTTTTAATTTGACCAGAGAGAGAGAAAGGGAAAGTGGAAAAGCAAGCCACTGGGTCCAGGATCCAAAATGCATTGGCTATGTTAGAGTCTAGCACCTCAGCCACCTGCTGGCCCCCATACTGTTTTTATAATGGCTGTACTAACTTATATTCCCATCAACAGTGTGTATGAGTTTTCTTTTTCTTTTTTGGAGAGATTTTTGCCATAGGATGTATGCATTTAGCAGAGAGACAGAAAAGGAGAAATCACCCCCTCAGGCAGTGTGGCTACACTGTAGTCCCTTCTCCACCTGGGATCTTGGATACACGTGTGCACACTCACCGAATGTGAGTTTTAACCCACTGGGTCCAGGGCTCAAACCATGTTTGGCCATAATGCTATGCCACCTGCTGGCCCCAAGAGTTTACTTTTTCTGCATGCTCTTCAACACTTACCCTCTCTTGTTGTTTTACTTATAACTGTGATAATAGGTGTGAAGTGGTATCTTATTATGGTTTTGATAAAACACATTTATCTGATAAGTAGTTTTGAATAATTTTTCATATACCTGCTGGACATTTGTATGTCCTTTTTTTGGAGAGGTTTTTGCTATAGGGCATGTGCGCTCACCAGAGAGATAGACAGACAGAAAGCGAGAAGTCACCCCCAGGGGGGATGGCCACGCCACAATCCCTTACCCTCCATTCTCTCAGAATCTTGGGCATACACACTCACACGCCTGGTGTGAGTTTAAGCCACCAGGATGGGGACTCGAACCGTAGTCGACTACATGGGAGTTCAGCAACATAGCCATTACGCCAACTGCTGGTCTCTGTATGTCTTCTTTTGATAAGTATCTCTTCAGGTCTTTTGCTTATTTGAAAACTGGCTTATTGTGCTATTGAGTTTTTTGAATTCTTTGTATATTGGGTTGTCGGAAAAGTCATGAGGTATTTTTTTCTATGCAAAAATGCATCATGACTTTTCTGACAACCCAATATTTTGAGTATTAACTTCTTATCAGATGTTTGGCTTGCCAGTGTTTTCTCTCATTCTGTAGGTTGTCTTTTCACTCTGTTGATTGATTGCATTGCCATGGTGAAGCTTTTTAGTTTAATGTAATCCCATATGTCTATTTATGTAACCCCACTCATCTATTTTTGTTTTTGTTGCCTTTTTTTCTGGGGTCATATCCAGGATAATTATTTCCCAGACCAGTATCATGGAGCTGTCTCCCTATATTTTCTTCTAGTAGTTTGACAGTTTTGGATTGTATGTTTAAGATTTTAATCCATTTTGAGTTGATTTTTGAGTCTGATTGCATTTTCTGTACATAGATACCTAGTTTTCCCAGCACCATTTATCGAAGAGACTGTCCTTTAACCATTGTATCTTTTTTTTTTTTTTTTTTTTTAGGAGCTTTTTGTTACAGGCGTTGCTATAGGGTGCATGCTCTCTCCAGAAAGAGAGAGACAGACAGAAAGCAAAAAAATCACTCTCCAGTGGGGATGGCCATTCCGCAATCCCTTCTCCTCCATTCTCCTCTTGGGATCATGGTCACACACGCGCGCACCTAGTGTGAGTTCAAGTCACCAGCTCCGGGGCTCAAACCATGGTCGACTACATGGGAGTCCAGCGATGTAACCATTACACCATCTGTTGGTCCCCACCTTTGTATCTTCTTAAGCACCATTGTTGAGAATTAATCTGCCATTAATGCATTGGTTTATTTTTGTGCTCTTTATTCTGCTCCATTGGTCTTTGAGTCTGTTTTTATGCTAGTACCATGCTGTTTTGGTTACTACAGTTTTGTATTATATTTTGAAGTCAATGTGATACCACTTGCTTTGTTCTTTTTCTCAAGATTACTTTGGATATTTGGGAACCAGCAGTTAGCGTAATGGCTATGTCGCTGGACTCCCATGTAGTCGACCGCGGTTCGCGTCTCGGACCCGGTGGCTTAAATCTCACGCCGGGCGCGTGTGCGTGCGTGCCCAAGATCCCGAGAGGAGAATGGAGGAGAAGGGATTGCGGCATGACCATCCCCCCTGGGGGGTGATTTCTTGCTTTCTGTCTCTATGTCTCTGTCTGTCTGGCGAGCGCACGTGCCCTATAGCGAAAACCTCTCCAAAAAAAAAAAAAAAAAAGATTACTTTGGATATTTGAGTCTTTTGTGGTTCCATACAAATTTCATAATTTTTTTCTCTGAGAAAAATGTCTTTGGAATTTTGATAGTGATGACATTCAATCTGTAGGACATTTTATGTATGATGGACATTTTAACAGTATTTTACCAACTTATGGAATATCCTATTCATGTTTTCAGTTTGTTTCATCAATGTTTTATAGTTTTCAGTGTTCAGGTCTTTCCTTGGTTGAATTTATTCCTACATATTGTAGCAGTAGTATTTTTTGGTAGCTATCGTGAATGGAATTATATTCTTTTTCCGAGAGAACTGCTGCTGATTTTTATATTTTGATTTTGTACCCTGCAACATTACTGATTTTGTTTTTTTAGTTCTAATAGTGTTTTGGTGGAGTCTTTAATATTCACTGTGTATGCAGACATGTCATCTGCAAACAGGGGCAGTTTAACTTTTTCCTTTCCACTTTGGATGCCTTTTTATTTCTTTCCCTTGCCTAACTGCTCTGGCTTGCACTGCATAGTGCCGTGTTGAAAAGAAGTGATCAGAGTAATCATC